TGTGTGTGTGTGTTCTGAAATGCACTTCAAATGATCACTTTTCTCTTGATTTCCCTTTGATATTTTGTTTAGGTACAGTGTTACTTGCAGCTAATTGATTGTTTTATGGGTATTCTGTGTTGAGATGGTGCAAATATATTTCTAATACATTTCTCTTGTGTTGTTCTTTCACATAACTAAGACTATAGAAGTGTAAAAAATAGGCTACGTCAGATTATTCCAAGGGACATACATGTCAAGTCAAGTCAATTTTTATTTATATAGCCCAAAATCACAAATCAGAATGAGGGGGTCCTTGGTGTATTCTCTCTCTTGTAAGGGGTCCTTGGCTGAAAAACAATTGAGAACCTCTGTCCTAGAGAACTTTAAAAAGGAAGGGCCAGATCTACACAGAGCTCCAGTTCAACAGTAAACTCATTTGAATCATGTCTTCTCCGTCAGGTTCAAGGCTGGCACAGGAAGGCGGCGTCCTGCGGCTTCCTGCTGGTCCCCGTGCTGGATGACCCCTTCGCTCTGACCTCCTACCTGTACGGGGACCCTCTGAGGGCCCAGCTCTTCATCCCTCTGAACATCCACTGTCTGCTGAAGAACCCCAACGACAACCTGTTTGAAGGTCAGACTGACGAGTGTGTGCTCATGTGTGTGTGATGCGTTCAGGAGCTCAGTCACCACATCTGCTTTAATTCTTCTCTCAGGCTTTGAACCGGAGACGTACTGGGACAGGATGCAGCTGTTCCAGGAGGCCATCCTGTACAGGTGGAGGCTTTGTGTCTTTAATCGTCATTTATGTGTATGTGCAGGCACACCCCTCCCTACACGCAGAGCATGCAGAATGCGTGGGGGCCTCACCTCGCGGAGGGGGCCTTACCTCGCTGAGGGGGCCTCACCTCGCGGAGGGGGCCTCATCTGAAGCGCAAATGCGGCGCAATTAAGCGCGCAACAGATTCGCCGCTGCAAGGCTCCGGCGTTCGCAGTTCACGCGCTTGCCCACCAGCTTTGAGAACACTTTAATGATCTATAATTATAACATAATATCATATATATTATTCTGAAATGGACCAATCTGCACAATAACTGCTTTTACTTTTGGTAATTGAACTATATTTGAATGCTGATACTTTTCTACTTTTACTTGAGTTACATTTTTCCCGAGGGGGCACTCTCACAACTGCAAAACTGCTTTGAACACACAGCGTGGGACATCTTTGAACAGACAGACTAGGAGGAACACACAGAGGCTGTCTTATCCTACATCAAGTTCTGCACAGACACTGTAACTGTGGAAAAACGCATTTGGGTCTACCCAAACCACAAACCATGGATGACAAGAGCGGTGCGGTCTCTCCTGAGTTCCCGTGACACAGCCTTCAGGTCGGGGGACGCAGCCCAGTACAGCATGGCAAGGGAGAACCTGAGGAGAGGCATCAAGGCTGCGAAGGAGGACTACAAGGGAAAAGTGGAGGAGAATCTTGCACATAACAACACACGGTGCGTTTGGCAAGGCCTTTACCAGCTAACCAACTATAAGGGCAAAACATCTGGCACTACTAGAGCTAACGCCCACCTTGCAGAGGAACTAAACCACTTCTTTGCCCGCTTTGAGGCTAGCAGACCCCCCCACTTTTCTACCCTGTCCCTGCCAACTACCAGCTCCATACCACCTCCCATTCTCAAAGATGAAGCAGACGCTGAGGTCTGTGAATCCTGGAAAAGCTGCAGGACCCGATGGAGTACTCGGCAAAGTACTCAAAGGTTGTGCTGACCAGCTCTCAGGGGCCCTGACCAGGATATTCAACCTGTCCCTGTCACAAGCTTGCATGCCATCCTGTCTGAAAACGGCTACCATCATTTCTGTCCCCAAAAAGACACCAGTCAGAGAGCT